TCCTTAGCATATCCTTGATTCTTTGTTGGCTAACTTTGATGCGAATCCAACCACGGATCCATTGACTATACCCGGGGGACCAATTACAAGAAGCAAAGCAAAGAAGATTCAAGAGGTTTTCATAATACATCTTCAAAGGCTAGCTAATGCACACGAGGAGACAAAGATTTCTGAGGCAAAAATTCTTTACAATGTTAATTTAATGAGTCAAGAAGAGAATGGAGCAAAGATGGCACGGGAAGAGTTGTCTATTTTGAGAGATGGCACGGAGGACAAAAAAAGTGTGCAGATTGGTGAACAGGTGCCTTTGCAGATTGCACCTCTTGGGAGTTTGTGATGTCAAAGCTTGTCAAATCTCATCCAAACGTAAAGYGCSTCCTACATGTGATTTCCAAGACAATTTAAAGCAATTTTACGTTTTKGGATTCACATTTAGTTSTCTAGTTTGATGTGCAATCATGTTTTAATTTGCATGTCTTATTTTCTASAATTTGCATTAAATAGGATTTGAAAGACTTTTGGTGTTCCTCATGTTGAACRACCCTTTGGCCTATTTAAAGGCTTGTAATCACCTTGTTTTGGGAGAAAAAAACATATTGAAGTTCAAGAACTTTTGTTCCTTAACACTTTTGGTGTTGCTTMTTTCAAATCTTGCTTTAGGTTTGATGTTAAACCGATTCATTGGATTAGTCTCGATCAAGCTAATTCTGGAGTGAGTCGTCTTAGGATSTAGGAGTGACCATCGTRGATTCTAAGTCYGATCTAAGAGTGATTCATCTTCTAACCTTACTCTTGGTTGGAATCATTCGGTAAGTTAGTCGTTTTTGTGAATGTTTGCAAGGATCCTAGAAGGACCTCTAGCTTTGTAAACCCGAGCAACCTTGGCGCTTATCAAACTTGAAGTAATTCATGCTAGGTTTTACCATTATAAGACCAAATCCCAAATCCAAAACCATTATTTGTGACCACTTCCCATTTTACAAGAATCATTCATCTCAACATTCACTATTCATTAAAACTTTAGAGTTTGGAAATTATTTAGAAGTCCTTGAGGATCGATACTTGGATACTTCATCCATTTTATATTACTNTCAACATTCACTATTCATTAAAACTTTAGAGTTTGGAAATTATTTAGAAGTCCTTGAGGATCGATACTTGGATACTTCATCCATTTTATATTACTCTGACAGGTGTGCGCTTACATCTATAGAATTGTTACCACGCTTAGTGCGTGCGTTCAGCATAACGCCAGTCACATACAACATTCATTATAAAATATTAAACTGACATACATGCATCAATAAATTATAACACTCATTAACCCACACATGCAGTAAAAGTAACCCCGACCACAAGACCCGCTAGTAGCCCTCACTAACCGTACACACATAGCATGCTCTTAATCGCAACTATCATCAAAATACGATAGCTAGTAACCATGCAACGATAGGTCATAACGGTTATCCATTCACACACACAAGCATACAAGGTATCAAGACTCACGTAACTTCGACCCTGCTGATCTCTAGCTCCTCCTAGCTACTTCAATCCCATCACATTATGTTAGTCCTCCAAGTCTAACTCTTCGAATCCTATCGGCCCTTGACCTTTTGTAGTCAAGGCCCCGACGCTTCTCTTCAGAAGCATGGTGTTCGACTTTGACCTTTATACTCAAGGTCTCAAACTGTGCATTGACCCTTGACCTTTTGTACCCAAGGCCTCGACAACTACTCAACGTATTGGTCCTTGATCGCCACCACGTCAAGACCCAATACTACTCATCAAATAGACTGATCATGCCGACCCCCGACGTTTTGTACCCAGAGCCTTGACACTCATCTCTACCAAGACTCGACCTTTTGCACCCGGAGCCTCGACACCCAGTAGTGACGTAACAGCCTTGACCATTTGCCCTCGAGACCTTGAACTGTGCATCGACCCATGACCTTTTGTACCCAAGGCCTCAACGACTACTCAGCGTATTGGTCCTTGACCGCCACCACGTCAAGACCCAATACTCATCATCAAATAGAATCATCCAATATCCTTTTCGTTCCAAACTAACACCAACATTCCATTCCTAATTGTCAATAAGGATCCTAGCACAAGTCATCACATCATGCTAGTCATAGCAAGAAAATCCAACATGTTTATATCAAGTGAAACGTAACCACAATCAGTCGTTCCATAATATTAGGCATTCTACTCACTAGCAACAACAGACCACTTTCGATCATGCTAAAAGATGAGGCAAAGCCAACATATTTTAACCGACAAGTATAATACATGCATTATGTCCAGAGATCATTCCATAACACTAACCTACAACAGTAGTACATATTATCAAACTAAGAATAGCTATAATGGATCGTCCAATATATCCTAGAAAATCGACACACCAGTCACACTCAAAAAACATAAGATCCAACGGATGCCTCACAACATCCTAGCTAATCACAACTAATCTAGCTCAGCAATCACAGTCAACAATTAAGAAAACCAAGTCCAACCTTGACAAATATAATAGTATCATTTACAGAGTCAAGCACAACAAGACACAAAGCCTGCATTGATTAATAGAAGTAGACATACAAGTTGAGAGTAATGAAAAATAACAACGCAAAAACTTATTCGATAACATCAACACACAATCACTCACGCACCCGCCCCTAGTACTGCTTACCCACTGCCACGCTCCTAAATCTTGCATTGATTCAACACCTATGCATAAAGAGATAAAAGATAGCCGGTTAACACCAACTTTTAGTTATAAAAAACAATTCTAATGAGGTTGGAACGTCTCATTACCTCGAAATTGACTTCGATTGGGAGTGGGTAGCTTAGACCTAGTTCGAATAGGTGTGGGTAGCGCGAATCAAGCCTCGAATGGAAGTGAGTAAACGGCGAACACCAAGGACTATGTTTTTTTTCTTTCGACGTTTTACAGCAGCAAAAAAGAAGGAAAACACCTCGACAGCCGTTGTCGTCGCCACAAGGGTGTGGACCTCCTAAATTAAGTTGCTAGGGGTCGGTTGTTACTAAAAAATCAAGAGAGTGTCAAAACACTGCCGTCAGCCGTACTCCGCCACAAACCGCCGCAAAAACTAGAGTAGAAACGCGTCGGCTGTCCTTCTACGTCGTTGTCTGCCCTGCTATGCCGTTGTCCGCCTTGCTACGTCACCGTGGGGAGAAGAGAAGTCGCCGCTTGAGGGGTTCGTAACA